GTCTTGCTTCTGGCCGCATACTATTTTTGCTATCTTCTACATGGATTTCGAAATGATGCTGATCTTTGGTTGATTTTCTCGGTTGCTCGTATTTCTCTTTATCTCTTTGACTAGTTGTAAGCGTATTGGTTTTAATCATTATTTCTCCGGTATCCGATTCATTTGAATATTCAGCATCGCCCTCTTCTTTTTTACCGACAACATCAGCGCTATCTTCATCTTCGAACGATTCCACATATTGAACTTGTTGTATTTCAATTTTTCTACGAGCAGGGCTGAGTGGGTTATCCAAAGAATCAGAAATCTCCATAAGTATAATGCAATTAAGTGGTTCGCTGCGTTGCGCACATATTTCAATAGAAATGCAAGTATCGGTGATCTATGTTTAATAGTTCCTACCCTTTTTGTTTGGATATGGAATTAAACGACAAACTATATGAACGTAATTTGATTGGACATATTGAAACACTAAAGTAGAAACCAGGAAGTGGTCTTCGCTCATTTAGCCTTTAATTCTTATATTCTTATTAACGTTCAAAGAATTCAAAATCGATTCCAAATTGTGTATTATCAAAATATTATGGATGTTAACGCTAGATGCGCTAATAGAAAATAAATATTAATTAACTAACGCACAGATCTACAACTACATATAAACCTGTTTATTTGTTGTATGTATATGCTTATATTATTGGCATACTTTTGAAAACTTTGCTGAGGATTTTTTTTCACAATTATATTTATTTAGAACTTCGCATATTTTTTCGAAAGTATGGAGCAATTGCACCACTTTAAAAAATACATAATTTTGTCCCTGATTGCATACGTTTCTTGGCGTACCCTTTAAAAGTCACATGAATCTTTTAATTCACAGTCAACATGGTTATTAGAAAAAAACTTTCCTTGAAAAATCATGTCGCATAACTTGAACTTTTTAATTCACTGGGAAATTCAAAATAGCTCCACTTTTTAATTGCTGTTCTAGCGTCAGTCTTACATAATATTGTTATTATTATTATTTTAATTTTAGACTAATGAATTGAATTCTTAGACTAAAAAAAGAGACATTGAGCACTAGCAACACAGGCTATCGGCTCTTACGTAATATTAATAACTGTACGACCCATGAAATCCCAGTACGGCATAAATAATTTTTCATGTTATTTCAAATAAAAAAACATTGAATTTACCTTGGAAACGTCTGACTAAGGAATGCTCACTTTTCATATAATGACTACTCGTTTGGCGACTGTAAATGGTGACAGCGTTAGACTTGCTGAGAAACTCAATTAAAGCAAAAATACTCAAAACATATTTTAATTAGAACAAATACTTATTCTTCTCTTTGTCATAGAATTTTTACTATGCGTTGGATTCAAATAATTTTCGATCGTCTATTTGGCTTTAATCTACAAGAACTTCATATTAATGAATTTGAATTACAAAAACTTGATCGTTTAATTCAATTTGATTTTCAACAGTTACGTTCCCTCTCAAAGTAATTTAGTAAAAATTTTAACTTGCATCACTAAGTCCTATTGTTGTAGCATTCCTTATTTTTCCTTCTATTTATTTATTTATTTATATATTTTTTGAACAGCGAAGACAGACCATAGTTAACAGCATTCATCTAATCTTACAATACAATATAATAACATATTATCCACCATACAATTGTGTAAAGGTATCTAAATGGTTTAAGCCGGAAGGCGTCATTGGAGTGCGAAAAAATGCGTAAATTTAGGGGTAAGTAGTTCCAGCATCGCGCTGCACGTACCACAAAAGATCTCTCAAACCAATTACATCTAATTAAAGAGAGACGTGCGGACTCCTAGTGGAGTTTATAAAAATAAATTCAGAACATAGATTAAGAGATAGGCCACATTTGACTACGTAATGGGAATATTACATTGTATGTACGAATATATGGTAAGAATTAACAGAAAATGTTGAAAAATATGCGAAAATCGAACGGCAGTTCTATAGAAATTGAATAAAATTAGTCAGGAGACGTTCAAGGGGAGATAAAGACTCTTTTTTTATACATTCATATATATAAGATTATATATTATGGATAAATCAGTCGAGTTAAGAAGTGCGCTTAACTGAAACGTGCCATAGCTAAATTATTGTTGACGTTACTTTTATTATTGGCGCCTCAGACGGCAGTTGATAACAGTTTAGTTAGATTGAATTATGGTGGACTCTGTCCTAATAGCTCGGAAGGTGATGATTCGGCCGCATATGAATTGCAAATCAATCAAAGGAATGATACTATTACCCACGACGCAGGCATTCAAGGGAATCGATTTTATCGCCATTAGCTATAAAAGCCGTGCGAACTTGCAAGATATTGATGGAATTGTATTTTAATATTCGCTGCTATCGTGGCGTAGATTTTTGCAAAGCGTTCTAGCCCAGAATAATGAAAGCTCGCCTTGTCTTAACGTTGTTGTGCCTGTTGGGGTAGTTCTGCGCGGTTTTTCTTGAATTTCCAATTTGTTTACATTTGTTGAATAATTGTTCAAGTATTTGTATAAAAATTTGGCCACATACGAGAATAAGCGAAAAATGTGAGAGTAAGCGTATAAAAATTTGGCCAATAATTTGTGCTTATTTTTTTTTTTTCTTTTTTAGGATCCTCGTTTCTCAGGAGTACCGACATCTGTTCAAGAACTTATTGATAAAGGCTATACACGCTGGCGAAATATCAATGAATTTGTATATAAATCGAAATCGGTAATAGAGTTTTATCGTGCCTGTTGCAACTTTAATACATACCGTAACCGTCTAATTTATTTCGCGAATGCTCTCCCCGCAAAGTAACCAAAATCTCACCCAGGTCTTTAAAGTAACCTGAGTCATTTAGATTCGATTGATCCGTGGTCGAATCCAACCGTCGTTTCTCCAATGCCATATAAGTGGCATAAAGATGAAGGAATCTGGGAACTGGAGAACTAGCATTCCGCACTAAATGAGCAGCTCTATCATATTCACGTACATCAAAGTAACTTTTAGCTACAAAATAATTATCATATTCTTGCTGAAATATGCACGTTTCAATTAACCATTTGGTTTATTCCAAACGCCACCAAACCAATACCGAATTTCAATATGCTTTATAAATTCAATCTACAATACTATAATAAATATAATAAAACGACCTCTATGCCTGGTATTTTTGAACATTTAATTCACATTCAATTTCTAAAATAATTGTCAATTTTAGAACAAAATTTGGATACTCACTTATCGAGTTTTCTAAATTAAGCCAAAGCAAAAATGAGAAGGTTTCACTTGCAGAGAACTTTAACTTTATCGTTCATTGTTCAACGTTGTGTTTGTCTTTGCTGCACGAAAGAATGCCTGACAAAAGACTACATTTACAATGCGAGCCTGATGTGCTAAATAGTCACGCACAAATCATAAGCAAGTGCATATTTGAATGGAGAGAAGAAATAACTCCGATCAGCAGGAAATACGGATAACAGTATAAAGTTGAAGAAAAGTCAAATCCACCTACAGGTCCGTCCAAAAGTCGCAAAAATTGTGTGTGTTCTTTCCACGTGAATTTGCTGTAGTAATGTAATCGAGGTATTGGACGCTTATTCTCACATTTTTCGCTTATTCTCGTATGTGGCCAAATTTTTATACGCGTATTCTTACATTTTTCGCTTATTCTCGTAGGCGGCCAAATCCTTAAAAAATTTTCGTATGTTCTGTTTATATTTCAATTTATAGTCATACATGTACAGGGTATATTTTACTTGTTTGCTGCTATAATGGAAATGTTTTCTGTAGTGTCTTAAGTAAAAGTGTTGGAATAAATTAAAATAAGCCTAAAAGAAAAAAAAGTGCTTAAAAATAGAAAATTTCACACAATACATGTACGCACACTTAGGCATGTGTAACGAAAACATCGAAAAGGACTAATTTGGATAAAAAAAAAACGAAATACTACATGTATATATATATATTTATATATATACATGTATGTACATAAGCCTCTCTTATATCTAGAGGTTTAAGGCAAAGAGGAATAAACAAATGGGAAGAAAGATGATAAATAACAAAATGAAATATTTGAAAAATCTTAAAATAATTGAACAACATTTTTAAACTCTCTTGTGTTCTTTACTTGCTTTGGCTTTACTTTTCGAGCCAAAAACGTCATCATCAATCAGTAGCTATTTCACATTAGTTGTCACCTTTAAGTGTTTTGAAAATGTATTTATTTTTTTTTTTTCGTTTTCGTTTTCTTTTTCTTTTCTTTTGAATTTTTCTATCTGTTAAAAAAATAAAAATAAATTCTGGCCACTATAATATAGTTCGACACAATAACAATAAGAACAAAAACAACAATAACAAGAACAAGAAACAACAACATTAGTAATCACAACAATAGCAGCAACAAAAACAAATCTATGTACTCGGCTATGCAAAGTCCAGGTTAGACATAAGCGGTTCGTGAAAATCGAATGAAGCCGTTTTCTTGAGTTCTATCCTTTCTGTATACACTAAATATCATACATTTTTCCAGATTCTCATAACTCATGCGAAGAGCCTGCAGTAGTGTTCACTAGCTGTAGCTTTGAAATATTTTTGGTGCTTTTTCCAGCTAAACCAAAAGCCGCAAATGAAAAGTTGCTTGATGTTTACTGTTAATAGTTCATAGCTTATACTTTAGAGCTTACAAATGCATCCACTTCAGTAACAAATGGACTGAAAAAGTGCGGTTGCAATTATAGTTAATTTCTTTTTCTTTTCCTATTTACGTAAAAGTGTGAAATGATAAAGGTTTTTTTTGTAAAAGTTTGCAAAATAGCACATTGATGCAGCAAGGAATCCGCTCTTGTAAGCATACCGTCAATGTAAAATTCAGAAAAAAATTTTATTAAATTTGATATAAATTTAATAAAATCGATTGCGGTCATTTCAAGTTTCTATATCAATTATCTCATCTAACTTTTCATTTGTCGATATGAGGTCAATAATGCTTTATAAGGCTTAAAAATTTAAATTGAATGTGAAATGTACTATGCAACGGCGCGCCATGGTATTAATTATCACTATAAGTATTATGCAACTCTCTCAAAGGAATAAATGCAAACTGGGAACTGGGGTCAGCTGCGGTCGATATTCTTCTTAAACTTTTTTTCTTGCTTCTACAGCTTAGATGGCCCTATGCAAAAAATCAAAGGCAGCAAGTATATGAAAATGACTAATTCCGTTCATCAAATGGTTTACATTGAATATCTGAAATGTCATTCGAGGCGAGTACATCCCCCACATTTCCATTGCCTGAAAGAGAAGTTTTATAAGGTTTTTCTTTTTAAAACGTGACCGGATGCTGTAGACGTCAGAAGTAGCGCACTAACAAGCGAAAAAGTAGCCGAGTAGACAACGATTGCGATTATCAAATCAGGACACCCGAGTTTAGGTCTCAAGTGCGCTGGAGTCTACGTTGGCGCACTTACAATGAGTACTTAATCAAGTAAGAGGCCTAGCATCTACCAATTGGATGTACACCCAATAGATTGCGGCCACAATCTGCCCATTGCGATCTCTTTCCTTTGCTAAGCACAATTTAGTTTAGTTTGATGATATTAAACATTTTATGTTTGAAATTTTATTCTATATTCGTGAAATGGCAATTATTATGTATCGGATGTGATGCATTTATTAACCCATTGCTGTCAATAATAATTTATAGAATATAAACGACATAAATAATAACTATATTTATTATAAATGTACTGAAGGCATTGAATCATTTTTGAAATTCAGATAATTATATAATTTCTCTACATATATAATTTAAAAGCAAAACAAAAAAAAAAAGAAAAGAGAGAGAGAAACATTTAAATGAACATTCAATGTAATAATAAATAAATCTTTCTAAGCAAATGCATAAATATTGTGCTATGTGAATAAATATAAACATGGCCGTCTGAGCCGACGCGATCGTGAAGCCAGTACGTATACATCTGGTCAACAGCAACATTAACAACAGCAACTATGCGTAAGCTACTATAGGAAATGTTGGTGCGCTGCGTCAAATATATGCCAAGTTACATTTTATAATTTAATTGGCGGACATCGTATAGAAATTTTGGAAAATATGTTTTACATTTTTAATGGTTTAGTAGATAATATAATCTTTTCGAAATAAACTTAGAAATCATATTTTTGATGTGTATAGAAAAATTCAAAACTAAGTGAAAAAAAGAATTGTGAAAAAATGTGTGTCCCAAAATATATTCTGAATGTACTCTGAAAATTAATATATTACTAAATGTTAGAAAATATGTTAAGAAAATGGAAAATATGCATTCATCCCCCCTTGTACATCTCCTGAATAGTTTTATACAATTTTTATAGGCGTG